AGAGATGGGCGGGGACAAGTTTAATAAATAAATAAATAAATAAACAAACAAACAAACAAACAAATAAATAAATAAATAAATGAACTGCTGTAAAGAAGATCGGAAGCTGCTTTTTTTCCTAGTATCTTTTTCTTTTTTCTTTTCTTTCTTCTTTTCTGCACTTTTTCTTTCATCTTTCATCTTCTTCCTTACCTTTCTGTTTTAGATTTTTTCATGTTACTTTTATTCAGGTAATTTTTTTTCAATAAAGATTATATGGACAAGAGAAGAGAGCTTTGGGAAGGGGTACAGTCAGAAAGAAGATCTCACACACACACACATACACGCGTACATATATAATAACAGTGTACCATCTTGCACACATCAACCTTGTACAGTGCAGGGAGCCAAATCAACGTGTCTCTCAACAGAGGAGTGTCCAACCCTAAGCAACCACGAGGAGTCCAAGGGAGGCGGGCAAATGACAACGCATGGGTGATGATGTCACTGCACCAATGCTGCAACTTATGTTCTGGTATCAGATGTCATGACACAAGTGGGAGGTTATGTTTCATGCTTGCTAGAAGGGCTAGCAAATATCAGATTGATGAACTGATGGAAGATGCCCCTTCTTCTCAAAAGATGGGGCCAGCCAACCTGCTGCATGGAAGGTGCAGGGGAAAATGGAGTTTTGTTGTTCTAAATTGCCGATATATAGGTATCTCATTTGAAAATTGAGTACTCATTAAAGTTCTTGTGTTATCATTTTTGTCTTCCTTCAAATAAAGATCTTGGATTCTTATTCCTTGCTTCCCATCCAGACTGAGGGACATCGGAAAACAAATATGTAATTGCAATATTTGTACAATAACATCATTGCCTGTTGTCATCTTGGCTTTGTCACGGTTTCTTACACAAACAGCTTAAACATATCCAGTGAAGGAAAGTTGGCAACCATTTACCATTAGGAAATTCCCCCTAACATTCAGGCAGAATCCGCCTTTCTGCAACTATAGCCCTTTATTCTGTATCCTGAAACAGAATACAGAGAGAGAACAGCCAGTCATTGCTCTTCCTGAAGCCTCAAAGCTGGATAAAACCTGAGTGTCACACCAGGTGGGGTAAATTGTGAATCAGCAAAGATTCCTCTACCGCCCTTCTGCAAAAATAAAATAAAACAAATAGCTTGCATTCCTGAATCCGCACAGTCTTTCAAATTTTGTTTTGGAAATTAAAAAAAAAATTCTTCCAAAAGACTTGTATGAGGATGGCTTAAGGAAAGATTGCTAAGTAACCAAATGCACTGAAGAGTCTCAGTTGGGGTTACCAGATATCTGAACAGGCAAAGGAGGACAATTGGAAAGGAGGACAAATGGGGGGAAAGGAGGACACGCTAACTGTTTAACTTTCTGGGCATCTGCGACAAAAATTACAGCAAAAAACTGCAAACAAATGTCCAGTATATGAAATTACTTTTTCCAGCATCAGAGAGACTGGTTTTTCAATTCCAATATTTTACAGACTACAGTGATGTTAGATTTGGAGGGGCTGGATTGAAGCCGATGGCTGGAATCAGGGAATAAATGAAATAACTTAAATCTAGGCTGTCCAGTCTATTGACAGATGAAGGAAAGATGATGACTACTGTTATGAACATATCAATGACTACTGTTATGAAAACAGTCCAAAATAATAATTTAAAAAAGACATTCAAAAAGCCAGACAATATTTGACTTTAAGGCTATGCCTGCTGGCTATGCCACCCAGATATCTTTCTCAATATGGCCATGGGAACAAGTTAAATCTGCTGGGTACAGGGGGTGGGATAAAGGAAGACAACTAAGTTTCAGGACACTGAAGGTCCCATGTACAAGACCTTTACCATTTGGGGAGGGGTAAAGGAAGATAAATAATACACAACTACATCTGTAACAGAGAGACTTTAGATGTCCGTGAGCAAACCAATAAACCATTGGTGCTCAAGGGAGGTGTCAAAAAAGTGAAGATGGTGGTCCCCTCAGCATGATCAAAACCCCACCCCATTGTATGTGCATGCAACGATCCATGTACAAAAGGGGTGGGGCTTCATTCACACCATCATCTTACATTTTTTGACTCCACCCCTATGGACATTGCTGCACTGAACCTCTATGGTGGAGGAGGAATGAGAAAGGAATTTCACTACAACTGCTGTAATGACTGAGTGAGCCCAGGAGGGAGAATGTGACATTCCTCCAAGTAGGAAAATACTTAGGCTTAAGAATTGCAGCTGGAAGCAGAAATACCCCAGGGGTGGGGGAGACCGTTTTTCTCCATTTGCAAAAATTCTGGGGAGGATGCATATGTATTGCATCTGAGATGGGATCCGTTCAGTGCCATGAGAACTACTAGTGGATAAGATATTCTACCAACAGGTTAATATGGGTGTGCAGAAAGGCTCTCAGTCAATTTTCAGGTTAACAGAACCACGATTCCAAACTCAGCCTACGTTCCTATGCCCAGTGCCCAAAGTGCAAGCTTCGTTGAGCACTTCTGGAACTTCCTTCCGAGCAAGGAGGCCTAACACCTCTGAAATGTTTGGCTTAATCCTAAGAGCAGGATCACAATTCAAGAAATGAGAGGGAGAAAAGTGGTCTATTTTGTTGGGAAGCAAATGGTTAGAAATCAGCATAATTCCTATGAGTGTTTACCACTTTAAATTGAATGCGCAGATGTGCACATGGCTAAGTTATAAATGCTATCCTTCCCATTGGTTTTATTTACATTGCTCATTGCAGTACTATAGCTCCAGGCCAAAAATTCAAGCTTGCCAGTTTGGTCTTATTATCCTGTCTGCATCTTGAGAAACCAAAGGATCATTTTGACTGATTATAAGGTTGAAAGTACAAAGTATATATTCTTCATTTATCAACAGAGGGCTTTGGTTTGCACTGGTCGGGTTAATTCAGAGCACACATTTAACCTGAGATTTGCAGAGTTGTTTATAGACTATGATTCTAATGAAAGAAAATGTTGCAATCGAAATCCACATGTTTCATTCCAACCTAGCTCCTTGGGATCTAAAGCAGCAGAGGTTTGCCAAGGTTGAGAAACACTGAGCTAAACCCTTCAGCTGACTTAGCTACTAATGGGTGTTGTCATAAAATTGGGTAGAGGGCAATTTGATTTCCTCTGCTGCCGTTGCCCTATTTCACTTAAGAAATGCATTTGGTATTAAGAAGGAACACCTGGGGCCCATCTATATGGCTTGTCTGCTGCAGCATGAAGACGCCACACTTACTGTTTCTTGATGGCATATCCTGACAACAAAGCCTCATGGCCAGACTGCTGCTGAGACAGATTGAAGCCGGTCCAAAGTGTTCCAGTAGGAAAGTAGTGTTTTCCCAACTATTAAGGCAAGACCTCCCATCCAGATAATCCAGGGTGCATGAAGGAGGAATGTCTGGAGGTTAGCATCCTGTTAGGCTCCAACTGGACTAGACTTGGGTATCTACAGGATGGTAGGCACGTTGTCAGGATCAAAGGGGATGAGGCTTCAATTGCGATGCTGCAACTACCAACCAGTGGAGTTGGGCAGCCAATACATTTAAATAAATTAATAAATCTTGCAGATGTCGATCCACTCTGTGGATACCAGTGGGACCAGGAGATCTGCTGTGGAATCACCTCCTCCAGTCCAGATGTTGAGCTTTGCATCTCCATAGCAATTTATGCCGTTTCTGCCAGGGAGACCAGACACTCATCTCATGAAATGGAGGAAAGGCATCTTCCTGGTCTTTGTAAGAAGGAAGGTCTCTCCTTTGTAAAGGCCAGAAAAATGCAGAAGCAGAAACTGGTTTCCTTCCTCCAAGCATTTTTATTTTTTAATGATTGATTGATTGATTGATTGATTGATTGATTGATTTTTCACACAGCCTCTCCATACCATTCAGCACTCAGCTTTTTTACATGCACAGAAACTGTGCGGCTTGATGCAACCAAAGGTCCATTATGGTTTCACGCTCCAAATCTAGGCAGGCCAGTAACTTTGGAAACTGACTAGCAGGGTCCATCTCTGTTGCTTGTTCACATCCTTATTTATAAATACACATGCTTGAACACCAATATCCTCCAACCCCCCTCTACTAACAGGGGATAACTCCAAAAATTCCGGTCCCTGTTCCAGATAAATCGCTGCCTGATTCTGTCCTCCGCTTGGCCTTTTTTGGAGAAGGTTTGTTAAAACTTTGGCAAGTTTTGCGTTGACATTATGGGTGTTTAGTCAGGGTCAGTTTTCTTTCCAGTGCCTCTGGAAATAAATACAGTAAAACTTTCTCCTACTCTGTATCATTGAGACATTTTAGACTACAAACCCTATCATCAGCATCCAGAACTGGGGGTGTGTGGGTTGGGGGATAAAGGGAGTTCTAGGTCAATCTATCTAGCAGATGTTGGGGAAAGGAAAAAACAGGTGTTTCAAACAGGTGTTTATTGGAAAGTCCTTATTTCAAAAAAATATTTTACAAAATAAAATACTCTTCACTTTTTAAAAAAGTTGTTTTAATTATTCCTTTCTAATGAAGGAATTATAGTTGCTTTAGTTAAAATAATTAACTTGGAAGCTTGTACGCTCTAACCCAAAGAGCTGGCCTCCAGTATTATTTTATTTCCAGTAATGTTTCTGGCATCATTTCCCCCCCCCCCAATTTTACCTGTTTCCA